AGCAATGGTGACAGAATTTGGACCACATCTTCCAACTCCATTAAGTCGAGCTTCCTCTTACAGCGTGACAGTTTCAGCCAGTGTTTACAAGCCTTTGAGATCCCGACACTGCACTGGGCACGTTTTCAGCATTTTGTGGGTGAGGAGGTTGTGGCTTTGTGTTGTCAGGCAGGGCTGGAGCCGGTTGGAACCGAGGTCTGACTTCTCCAGAGCCGGAGTTTTGCCGTGAAAAGGAAAAAGCCCAAACATCAAGACGTCTGTTGCGAAGCGTCTGCCCTCAGCTAAAAGCAGAGGAGCAACAGAGAGAGCCTTTTCTTGGCTGCCATATGCGTGCGTTAGAGCCGTATGAAGTTGCAATCTGTGCTCAGAGGTGGGGGTGGGGGAGTCTTACCCAGTTCCTTAAATTAATCAGTATAAAAAGAATCCACTGTGGAAATCACGTTGTTGAAACCAAAAAATGTACAGACTCCATTAGTCTGGAGGCATTGGGTATACCTGCCCGCCGTAGCCAGGAATAAAGGTGCTTACAAACAGATGATTCTATCCAGGTAAGAGAGGTGTGAGGGGAAGGGGAGCCTGTGTGTGTGACACAGCCCGGGGACTGCAGCCAGCAGGCCCGGCCCCCACGAGGTCTCAGAGGCCTCAGACTAGCCCACCGCGATACGTCTGGTCTGAAGTCGACCAGGCTAAGCAAGGCCCGCTACATTTGCCTGATCTGTGTCAGCCACCCTCCAGATGCTCAGCACCCACAACCCCATTCAGTCCTCGTGAGAGCCCGACAAGACAGTGACGGCGAATGCTGTTTCTGGTGAGGAAACAGGCCTAGTGGTGAAGTGGCCAAAGGTCACACAGCTGATAACTGGCAGAACCAGGGGTGGAGCCCAGAGCCTGCAGGTCCCAAGGTCTGGCCTCTTGACCACTGGGGATATGCCTGCTCCTGTGAGGATATGCCCGACAGGCAGACTGTCAGGTCTGTCTTCATGGACTAATCCGTTCCTGAAATGGACTCTATCATCTGAAAAAAGGGGCCAACAGCTCAGAAGGTTAAATGTTTACGCTTCTTGGGAGGATTACATGAGATAAAACGTGAAGAATACTGAACATGGCATCTGGTACAAGACACGCAGTCCAGCCTTGGTTCTCTCCAATCTCATCGAAGGCTCTGCCTTCCTCTCCAGCTCCACCTCCCAGCATTCCTCCCACTCCCCCCGAGCCCAGCCTCAAGGAGCCACCCACGGCTCTCCACACAGGCTCTGCCCTCACCCCTACCTCTGGAGATTCTGTTTAAGGTAACTTCCTCTTTGAGGTCCCCCAGAGGAGTTAGGCACACTTCCCACCACTGCCCCCCCCCCCCCAATCCCACAGCCCATGAAGGGTAACTCTTCATAGACCCCTCTGGGCTTCCATAGTTTGCTGTCCAGACCTCCATTTCGGCACTTTCTTTGGGTGTAATTACATGTTTACAGATCTGTTTCCTATAACAGCTCATCTGAGATCCAATATGCATTAAACAAAAACAGGCAGAGGAACTGAAGACGGATACACCGCTAATTCTGGAGGAGTTTCAGAGCACTGGGGATATCAAGCTTCCTAGCATGCATGCCCAGTCACTCAGCTGTTTCTAACTATTTGTGACCCCCTACACTGTAGCCCGCCAGGCTCCTGTGTCCACGGGATTCTCCCAGCAAGAATACTGGAGTGGGTTGCCATTTCCTCCTTCACAAGCTTTCTATGCATACACCAAAAGCCCAGCTGGCACAATAGAAGGTTTACCCAGCTCTTCCAGGAGACACTGCATCAAGTGCCACCAAAAAATCCAAATAATCCTTTTGACCCAGAAGTTCCAGGAAGACTTGCTAAGGAAGCAGTTGGGAAAACAAGAAAAAATGTTCTATGCCAAGAATCACCTCTGGGTTCTGATGGCAAAATCAAACAAACAAAATAAGCAAACAATGTAAATGTCCAACCACAGAAGGGTGGCCGAGTCACCTACAGTAATACTGATGCCTGTTTGCTGACTATACTCACCAAGCACCAGCCACGTCACCATGCTATTTCATTCTCAGACACAACTTGGTGAGGCCGACAGCATGTTATTCCCATGGCTGTCAGGGTGATGGGAACACCTCCCAGAACACCTCCTGGGACTCAGCACACTTCGCAGCCTCCTGGACATGATCGCAGTTACCTCTCACAGCAGTGTGTGAGACAGCTGCTCTGCACAACCTCCCTTTACCAACAAGACCCCAAGGCTCGGTGACCTTAAGAACATGTTCACGGCCACGCCACACCCATGCTAAGTCCACGGCCTCACCCCTGAGGCTCCAGCCGTTGTTCCCCAGGTCACTCTGCAGCGGGCAGCAGAAGACGGCTGGGGGGACAGGAGCACCTGCTTGGAGACCAGGGGCTTTCTACCAGGAGCGGTTCCTCCTGCTGTGGACCGCAAACCACCTCTGTTATGGGTTGAATTACATCCCTCCCAAGATGCTGAAGTCCTGATCCCCAGGGCTGGTGCGGGTAACCTTTTTTGGAGATAGGTTACTGGCAGATGATCAAGTTAAGATGTTTCGGCAGGGTGCCCCCTAATCCAACAGGACTGTGTTCTTAGGAAGAGAGGACATTTGGACACAGAGATGGGCATGCAGAGAACAAAAACAATGTGAAAACAGAGAGGGAGAGTGATCTACGCTCAAAGGCAAGCCCGAGGCTACCAGAAGCTGGGAGAGACGGTGAAACAGGTCCTCCCCCTAAGCCTGAAAGCGACCAACCCCGCTGACACCACAGCTTCAGACTTTGAGCCTCGAGGACTATGACAGAATGAAGTTCTATCGCTCAGGTCATCCACTCTGTTACAGCAGCCCCAGGTTGTTAGTCACTGATCAAATGATGAGGCAACTAGGAAAGTGGTGATGACAAGGGCCAGGTACCTGATTGCAACTATAGGTAACCACACCCGGGTGCAGAGAGATGCCTGAAAGCAAACACTCCAGAGAAACTAAGATGCTTTCCAGTTTTCCTTTGTTCTACATTTTCCCAATTGTACCCACAAAGTTTGCATTACTCATAAATTTATACAACTGGCTTAAAAATATATGTATTTGAACTAGGAGAATCTGGAAGTATATAAGAATCCTTGTTATGGGCTGAATTATGTTTCTCCCAAATTTATATGTTGAAGGTCTAACCTTTACCCTCAGAACATGACCGTATTTACGATAGGACCTTTAAAAAGGTAATTACGTTGAAAATGAGTTGTTAGGATGGCTTCTACTGCAATCTGACTGGTGTCCTTGTAGAAAGAGGAGATTAGGGCAAAGAGAGAGAGACAGAGAAACACCAGATACATGCATGCAGAGAGATGACCATGTGAACACACAGCAAGAAGGTGGCCACTGGCAAGTCAAGGAGAGACCCTCAGATTAAAAACAAACCACCAGCACCTTGTCCTCGGACTTCCAGCCTCTAGGACTGTGAGAAAAAAATTTTTTCAGTTTAAGCCCCTCAAGCTCTGCTATTTCGTTACAGCAGTACTAGCAAACTAATCACTGTTGTTGTTTAGACACCAAGTCATGTCAGACTCTCTTGCAACCCCAGGGACTGTAGCCCTCCTGCCTCCTCTATCCATGGGATTTCCCAAGCAAGAATACTGGAATGGGTTGCCATTCCCTTCTCCAGGGGGTCTTCTCAGCCCAAGGAGCCAAAAGAGGACAAGCCTTCCCACTGCCCTCAACGTTACCAGCTGGAGTTGAGAGAGAGGCAGGGAGTGCCCAGTGGGCAGGGCACAGTGGCATCACTCACCCAGGCAGTTGTGTCCGTCGTGTGCCAGCATGAAGCCGTCAAAGCAGGTGCACCTGTAGTTCCCCGGGATGTTGATGCACTCGTGGACGCAGCCCCCATTGTAGAAATCATTCTCACACTCGTCGATGTCTGCAAAATGAGGTGCATGAGAAGTGTCAGAAGAAGACCCAGGGGTCCTCTTCCCCCCATTACTGAAGACACGGGGACATGAGTGGTTAGGGGATGACTCGACAGGCATTCACTGACCCAAGTCCTTGCTGGGGCAGGGGAGCCGATCCAAAGGTTACAAAGGTGAAGATCTTGGCTTTGGAACACAGTCAGCCACCAACTTGGGGAGCAAGGTCATGTGGCAGGCATGACTGGAGTGACTTTCAGATCCCCTGATGGTGAAGCAGGCAAGATTCACACTCAGGTCTGGCCCCCTTGAAGCCCTTTCAACACTAACAGCATGCAGGGGCCCTATCTAAAATCCCCCCAAACTGGCTCTTTTCAGGCTATTTGAAAGGTGCCCAGCGTGGAGAGCTCATTACTTGTGGGAGAGGGGCTGAGAAATAAATGAACTTCTCATACCACCAAAAAACATAACTTCTGGAATGAGACAAAATGCCGTATACGCCCCCCAGGGTTTCCTTTCAGATCTGAATTTCTACTGCTTCAGTTTCCTTGTTACAACAAAGACGTCTGTCTCATGAACAATGGCTAATAGCCTTCCTAAAGGTCACCCTTTTTGCCGTTCTAAGTGTTTCTCAACATTTCCCATCAGGGGTCAAAGAGCTATCAGTTCTGGAGTTCCAGAGATTAGAGAGGGCCAGAGAGCTATAGCAGCGAGTCCAGTTAACATTCAATCAGCTACTCAAGTCCCAGGGGTGACACCATGTGTCATTAAGTCCCTAATCCCCGCATTAACTACGAGGCATAGATCCTGGTCATCTGTATTCCACTTTTACAAGGGAATCGAAGAAGCTGAGGCACAGCAAGGCCAAAGCCTTGCCAAGGGTCACACCTCGACGTGTTATATAAGTGGGATTCGAAACTGTGCAATCCCCCATTAAAACGAGGGGTACTGGTGGCGTTCAAGCTACCCACCTCGACCTCTAGAGGCCAACGAAAAGATGGCAACCGGAAGCCTCTCACAGAAGAACCGGAAGTGTTTCCACATCCTAACCGGAAGCAGGAAGGGGCCACCCTTAAGAAGAGGGAACTGAAGGCAAACCTGGCCGCTTCCACAGATGCCTGAGGGGCTGGCAAGGGGAGACACCCAGCTCTGTGCTGTCTCCACATGGTCCAGAGGACAGAGCTACACAGAGTAGAGAAAAGCCAGAAGGACCAATTAATTAATGTTCAGGGGTAGGTATGTCCCACCTGGAAGACAGAGCCTGTCTCATGAGGTAGTGAACGTCTGACTCTGGAGGTGACCAAGCACTGTCTGGACACCTGTCTGCCAGGAATGCTGCCAGCAGAGGGAATACCGCAGCCCTGAAAGTGCTAGAATACAGGGTCTGTGCAGCCTCCTCCTGGTACCCATCCACCCAGCCATGATGAGGGAAGAACAAGCAGCCTGGATCTGCAGAGGTGCAAGAGTCAGCAGGCTTCCCACCTGCAGAGGCCATCAGTGTCTGCTGGGAAGCAGGCTCAGTGTTGTAAGTCATCTGAATTGCTCGATCAGTATACTTAATGTACTTAGAAGTTTTAAATAACATTAAAAGCAGAGTATAACATTTTGTGTTTGAAAGGGCACATGGATTTATAAAGACTACCTCTCAATCTCTGTGGCTCTGACCTTTTGACAGAGCCCCAGATATACCAATCTAACTACCTCCTCTCCCCCTAGATCGTCCACATTCACTCCAAAGGCAATATGGACCAACTTTAACTCATCAACCTGCACTTCCCTGGGGTTCTCCATCCTAGTAAATATCGTTATCCTTCTATTTCTCCACTGATATCTAATCAGCTACCAACATGTGAATCTTCTACACTCTTAACATGGGTGCGGTCTGCAAACTGGTCACCCGTTTCTACTACCTATAAACATGGCACCATCTCTCAGCAGATCCAAACCAGTAGCTCCCAGACTATTGCCTCCCTCCTTTCTTTCATTCATGTAGATGACTCAGGAGAGGGTAGCCTGGTCCCAGCTCTTGGGGTGGAGCCTGGTCAGTCTCACCAAATAGTACATGGAATTAACGGCTGCTATTGGTCCCAGAGTGGGCATGTGACTTAGGCTGGATCAGTCAGACTGAGGGGAAGGAGTTTTATTTCATGTTGGGTAGAAGTCTCTCCCTCTCATGTTGTATCTCAGTATGTAGTTATCTACTCCTGAAACATACACCAACCCTCTGGAGTAGGTATTTTAACTCCATTTCATGGTTGAGCAAACTAAAGTGCAGAGAGGTAATTGCTCAAGGTCACATAATAACTGGTAGGGCAAGGATCAAAACAAAGCCTTTCTGTTTACAAAGCCCATGTCTTTTCTAGTGGAGGTGATGGAATTCCAGTTGAGCTATTTCCAATCCTTAAAAATGATGCTGTTAAAGTGTTGCACTCAATATGCCAGCAAATTTGGAAAACTCAGCAGTGGCCACAGGGCTGGAAAAGGTCAGTTTTCATTCCAATTCCAAAGAAAGGCAATACCAAAGAATGTTCAAACTACCGCACAATTGCACTCATCTCACACACTAGCAAAGTAATGCTCAAAATTCTCCAAGCCAGGCTTCAACAGTATGTGAACCATGAACTTCCAGATATTCATGCTGGATTTAGGAAAGGCAGAGGAACCAGAGATCAAATTGCCAACATCTGTTGGATCATCAAAAAAGAGAGTTGCAGAAAAACATCTATAAAAACATCTACTTCTGCTTTATTGACTATGCCAAAGCCTTTGACTGTGTGGATCACCACAAACTGTGGAAAATTCTTCAAGAGATGGGAATACCAGATTATCTTACCTGCCTCCTGAGAAATCTGTATGAAGGTCAAGAAGCAACAGTTAGAACTGGATATGAAACAACAGACTGGTTCTAAATCAGGAAAGGAGTACATCAAGGCTGTATATTGTCACCCTGCTTATTTAACTTATATGCAGAGTATATCATGTGAAATGCCAGGCTGGATGAAGCACAAGCTGGAATCAAGATTGCGGGAGAAATATCAATAACCTCAGATATGCAGATGACACCACCCTTATGGCAGAAAGCAAAGAAGAACTAAAGAGCGTCTTGATGAAAGAGGAGAGTGAAAAAGCTGGCTTAAAGCTCAAAATTTAGAGAACTAAGATCATGGCATCTGGTCCCATCACTTCGTGGCAAATAGATGGGGAAACAATGGAAACAGTGACAGATTTTATTTTGGGGACTCCAAAATCACTGCAGATGGTGACTGTAGCCATGAAATTAAAAGACACTTTCTCCTTGGGAGAAAAGCTATGACCAACCTAGACAGCAGGAGTTGTCTGTCTAAAGCAGAGACATTACTTTGCCAACAAAGGTCTGTCTAGTCAAAGCTGTGGTTTTGTAGTCATGTATGGATGTGAGAGTTGGACTATAAAGAAAGGTGAGTGCTGAAGAATTGATGCTTTTGAACTGTGGTGTTGGAGAAGACTCTTGAGAGTCCCTTATCTATCTATCTTGTGCTGAAGAAAAATAAATGAAGGTTGAAGAAGAGAAAGCTGGTGAATGTATGCAGAAATACGTTTGGTAATTCCAGCACAGTTACAAAAGGAAGGCCATAAATATGGCTCTGCGCCTCTCCTAGAAGCCAAGGTAAAGAGGCAAACATCAGTTACAGAGTCACCACATCCATAAAATTCAGTTGCACAAACTGTTTTAAGACATTGTCTAAGAAAGATGTCTTTCCCCAGTTAAGATAATCATACACCCAAATTTGCCTGGCAAAGCTCTAGTTTATGCCTATTGTCTGATAGTTACTAATAGCAAACTTTCTACTGTCAAAATGATAAACTATTTGATCAGCATATACATAAGGCATTACAAAGAGATTGCTTTTATAAAGAGATTGATTGGATAGTCAATATAACAACTCTAGGAATTCCCTGGCCATCCAGTGGTTAGGACTCTATGCTTCCACTGCAGGGGACACAGGTTCAATCCCTGATTGGGGAACTAAGATTGCAAAAGCCACGGGGAGCAGACAAAAAATAGTAATAAATAAATAAACTAAAATTGAACTTAAATACCAAAAAACAGCTCCAGCCTTTCCTTTCCTTTGACTCCCCATAGTGTAGGCCGACAGCAGTGTCTACTGCTCACACTTCTCCCCTTAATCCATTCCCCAAAGATTCCCCCAGATCTGAGCACTTCTCAGAATGATCAGCTCTTCTCCAATCACCAGCCCCGGAGCACTCCCACAGGCTTCTGAGGCCAGCCTGCTTTACCTGTCCATCCAGCATCATGAATGGAGAGCATCTGCTCACAAGTCAAACCTCCCCTGATTTTCTGTATCTTTGCCTTGAATTTTTGTTTTTTAAAATCATGTGCACCTCACCCTTTAATGCATGAGAGATAAACACATAAACAAACAAACAAAAAACTCTGCCAAAGCAAGCAGGTTTATTATTGTAAAAACCATATCCAAGAGCCACCAGCCCCAGAGGAGGTCCCACAGGCCTCCAAGATGCCTATCCGTCCAGGGCCACTTAAAAAATACTTTTATTGAAGTACAGATTGAAGTCTTGAATATTCATTGGAAGGACTGATGCTGAAGCTGAAACTCCAATAGTTTGGCCACCTGATGCGAAGAACTGATTCATTTGAAAAGACCCTGATGATGGGAAAGATTGCAGGCGGGAGGAGAAGGGGACAACAGAGAAAGATGGTTGGATGGCATCACTGACTCAATGGACATGGGTTTGGGTGAACTCTGGGAGTTGGTGATGGACAGGGAGGCCTGGCGTGCTGCAGTCTATGGGGTCACAGAGAGTCGGACACGACTGAACGACTGAACTGAACAGTTGATTTACAATGTTGTGTTAATTTCTGCTGTACGGCAAAGTGATATATATGTATATATACATTCTTTTTAAATACTCTTTTCCATTCTGGTTTATCATAGAATACTGAATACAGTTCTCTGTGCTATACAGTAGGACCTTGTTGTTTATCCTTTCCATATATTCCAGCTTACATCTGCTAACCACGGTCTCCCTCTCTAGCCCTCCCCCAAAGCCCCTCCCCCTTGGCAACCACCAGTCCGCTTTCTATGTCGGATCACTATTTAAGGACTGTTAAAGCTAGAGGATGAGGAATAGGCAGATGGAGTGGGGAGAGGGTGAAGGAGTGGCGGGGGACAGAGCCAAGCTCTCTAGTTATTTAATCTTTTTTTTTAAATTTGAAGTGTAGTTGATTTACGATATTGTGTTAGTTTCAGCTATACAGCAAGGTGATTCAGCTATATATTTTCAGATTATTTCCCACTATAGGCTATTACCAGATATTGAATATAGTCCTAACCCTGTGCTATATGGTAAGTCTCTATTGTTTATCTGTTCTATGTTTAGTGGTTTGTATCTGCTAATCCTATACTCCTAATTCCTCCTTCCTCCCTTGATGACTCTAAGTTTGTTTTCTATGTATGTGAGTCTGCTTTTGTTTTGTAAATAGATCCATCTGTATTATCTTTTAGATCCCACATGTAAGTGACATAATATTTGTCTTTCTTCGTTTGACTCAATTCATTTAGTATGACAATCTCTAGCTCCAGGCATGTTGCTGCAAATGGCAATGGTTCATTCTTTTTTATGGCTGAGTAATATTCCATTGTATTGAGTGGGTCAAAAAGTTTGCTTTTTGGCCTACCCAACATATATGTACTGCATCTTCTTAAACCACTTGTCTGTCGATGGACACCTGGGTTGTTTCCATGTCTTGGATGTTGTAAATAGTGCTGCTACGAACATAAGGGTGCACGTATCTTTTCAAATTGTCTGCTTATATACCCGGGAATGGATTGCTAGCTCATATGGCAACTATATTTGCAGTTTTTTGAGGAATCTCCATACTGTTTTCCATAGTGGCTGCACCACTTTACATTTCCATCAACAGTGTAGGAGGGTTCTCTTTCTCTATGCCCTCTCCAGCATTATTTGTAAACTTCTGGATGATGGCCATTTTGACCAGTGTGAGGTGATGCTTCATTGTGGTTCTGATTTGCATTTCTCTGATAATTAGCAACATTGAACATCTTTTCATGTGCCTGTTGGCCATCTGTATGTCTTTCTTGGGGAAACATCTATTTATATCTCTTGCCCATTTTTTTTTATTGGGTTTTTATTATTTTGCATATTGAGTTATATGAGCTGTTTGTATATTTTGGAAATTAAGCCCTTGTTGGTCGCATCATTTGCAAATATTTTCTCCCATTCCATACATTATCTTTTTTGTTTAGTTCATGGTTTTCTTTGCTTGTGCAAAAACTTTTAAGTTTGAGTAGGTCTCATTTGTTGCTTTTCACTTTTATTTCTTTTGCTTTGAGAGACTGGTCTAGATATTTATTCTCAAAAGGCTGTTGTGAGTTTGTGTCCCTCAGAAGAGCTGCTGATGTCCTAACCCTCAGTACCTGTGAATGTGACTTGATTTGGAAATAGGATCATTGCAGATGTAATCAAGCTTTAGATAAGGTTGTAGTGGAGTACGGCCTTCCCAGGAGGCGCTAGTGGTAAAGAAGCTGCCTGCCAATGCAGGCGATGTAAGAGGCACAAGTTTGATCCCTGGGCTGGGAAGATCCCCTGGAGGAGGGCATGGCCACCCACTCCAGTATTCTTGCCTGGAGAATCCCACGGACAGAGGAGCCTGGCGGGCTACAGTCCGTGGGGTCGCAAGGTGTTGAACATGACTGAAGCGTGTGTATGTATTGGAGTTGGATGGGCCTAATCCAACAACTGGTGTTCTTCTAAGAAGGAAATTCGGATAAAGACGTACAGAGAGGACTTTCGGACAGAAAGGAGAAAACCATGTGAAAACAGACACACAGAGGGAGGGTGGCTTCAGGACCGCAGAAGCAGAGAGCACAGGGATGAAGCAGTGTGGGAAGCCCGTGTGACCACTGCTTCCATTGTCCTGATGCCAAGGCCAAGGCCCAGCATGACTGAGGACCTGGTCTTCCCAGGTAGGGGAGCGAGGGATGCATTCAGATGCAGGCTGTATTCCTATTGGAGCCACATCCTCAGGGTGCATGAGATGAACACTTTTTAAAAGTGCTTTATGCTTCAAAAAGTTATTAAGAAGAAAGTTGGGGAAGAGACATCATGTGCATCATCGCATTTATTTCCAAGGTCCATACCTGCTCCTGGGGTTAAGAGGTAGTGACAGAGATGTTCATATCAGAGAAAGTGGCCAGGACAAAGCTCCAACCTGAGTGCTCAGGATAAGAAGGCCAGTAGCTCGCCCCAAACATCCCTGCTTCTTCTCCAGCTTGGATTTTTTTTGTTTAATGAGAACTCAAGTCCCAACAGAAAACAGCTTCCAACATCCAATAGAGCAGAGAAAAACAGGGAACTGCTCATTACAGGATTTTAAAAGGTCACGCAATTCCACTTTTCCTATATTAAAATGGCAGCATGCACGCACGATCCCACAGCTGTAGTTACGTGCCAACAACACTGGCTTGGACTCGAGTGGGAAGAGTTTGGGTTTTTTTTTTTTTTTTTTAAATTCAAAATTAATTCTTGCTGCCCCATAAAATGTACATTTATTCTGTAGTGCCTCGGTTCGAAGAGAGTCTACTACAATGAGTCATAGATTCTTCTCATTTCAATACCATTTAGGGCATTTTAGTTCTAAAAATCAGGACTGACCGGAAAGGTTCTCCAAATGAGGATTTTTAAAGCACCCTACTCGTCACTCTCAGAAATCATTACTGACTATATCTCCCTGTGTCCCTTTGAAATTGGCATTTTTCTCAACATTCCTTGCAGACAGCGGAGAGCAAACGCTCTAACAAAGAACCCTTCCCTGGCTGGGCGCTAACACGTCTTCTCCTTTGTCTGGGGCTTTAGGAAAAACCATGCACTCCTTAGATCAGGCAACCATTCTGGGAGAGATGTATGGCTTAGGAAGTTGAGTCCTTATTGGTGAATAAATCTTAATCCGGTTTGTTGGCTAATTACATTCGCGGGAAGGTGGTTCCGCAGGGCCGCCCAGCAGGAAGGATTAAGCCCCCCGTCTCCGGTGGCACAGGGTTAAGCTCTGGGTTTGTAATGACTGAGTAATGAGGCCCGCTCTCGGCGGACTCCTGGCATCCATCGATCAGGTTTCCCTTCTGCCGAGACAATGCCAGAAGTGGGCCCAGCAGTTAATTATGGGAAAGGTCAAAGGTCATGCAAAACCAACACAAATCTATATACTTTTTCATTCCTAACGGCACACAATGACCATGGCTCAGCCAGAGGGTGGGAAGGTCCTCCCCCCAGTCAACCCATGATCCAAGGTAACCATGGGGTTTGAGCTGTGGGCTGACCTCTCCCAGTGGCCTGCACGGCTTCGGGCCTCCACGTTTTTGCTCACGTTGTTTCCCTCTGCCCGGAGCTCACAGACACACACGCCCTTCCACAGACTGAGCCTCCACATTGCTGCCCGCTCTGAACTCTCGCAAATTGCCTGGCAGACAGGGACGGGGAGGGGGGCGCTTCTCCCCACTTTCTGGGCCCTGCGGCTCCCTGAAAGGACACTGTCATTCCCGTCACTTGCTATGTATGTGTCCTTCGAGGCTGTGACTTCCGTGGGGCAAGAACTGTGTCCTGTTGAGCTGCAGGTCCAGCAGCAGCAGCGTGTCTCTGCAAAGTCTGCTTGGCATTGAATGAATGAGTAGCCATCTCAATTGGAGCCCTCATGGACTATATGCGGTCCATGGACTGTATGAGGCTGTATGCAGGCCCTTGGCTACAAACACCCTAAGAAGTGGGTATGAACATCTTTATCTGACAGCAAGGGAAACCAAGGCTCAGAGGTGTTGCCACCCTGCCCGAGGTCACACAGCTAATACAAGGGAGGCCAGGAAGTGGGCCAGGCCATCAGACTTTGGAGAATGCTTTCTCAGTCACAAAGGGCCACGTTTTGTAGGCTTCCATTTATATGACGTCTACAGAAGAGCCAAAAGTATTGAGACAGAAACCAGATTAGTGGTTTCTGGGGACTGGGAAGCTGGAGAGCGATGCCTAAGGGGTACAGGGTTTCTTTTTGGAGTAATGAAAAGGGTCTAAAGTTGATTTTGGTGATGGGTGCACAAGTCTGTAAATATAGTAAAAGGCATGGAATTGTGTACTTTAAGTGGGTGATAGTATAGTACGTGGATCATATCTCATTGAAGCTGTTTTTCTCAGTTAATGCTGTCAGTGATCTCATACATCATGCTGGGGAGTCTCGGGGGCTCTGCCTGGGTGTAGACGCTCACTGTGAACTGACCTCGAGTGCCCTCTGCCCCGTGTGGGCTCACAGTGAGCTCTGTGGCTCTCCAGTATCAGGCTGGGACTTGCCTACCAAACCCCAAGGGTCAGTTAAGTACTCCCTTTCTCGCTCCCAAACACCCTGGACCCTTTGCTGTTCCCAGGTTCTGACATCAGGCCTAGCGGATGCCCAAGCAACCTGGGTGATGGGGAGCGGCCTTATCAGAGTGTTCAAGATGGGAGTGAGGAGCTGCCAGCTCAGAGCTGAGGCTCCTGCTGCTTCCTTGCCTATCAGAAGCACAGTCATTCTCCCACCCCCATTACCAAAAAGGCAGGGGGGACGCCCCAGATCCTGAGACTGCAGGCTCTGAGGGGGTGCTCCATGGACCCAACCCTGTGAACTCAACAGAAGGATCGTCAGAAATACAGTTGCCCAAAAACCTGAGCCACCACTTGGAACGGGCAGGCTGGGGTCCTAGAGCTCTTCCAGAGCACCCCTGGATTTGGTAAAAGGATAACTGAACCCAGAGAGGGGAACTGAAGAGCTGATCGTATCAGCAGGCTGGGGCTGAACCCAAGACTCGCAGCTTGAACCCAAGACTCACAGCTTGAACCCAGGACTCACAGCTCAGGCTTCTCCCCCTAAACCCATAGGCTGCCCTCTGGTCTCTGGCCCATGGCTGGACTGGAGCTGGCCTGGTGCACTTTGATTTTACTCTCTTTCTCTCCAGATTTCCAGTGGAGTTGCTCTCTATTCGTCATGCCAATAACAGCAAGGGTGACTGCCCCTCATCTTCTAACGGTCCGCAGCTAAACTCTTCGGCAGGAAGGGCTTCACTCTCCCCATCACAGAAAGAGAAACCGAGGCTCAGAGAGCTGAAGGGACATGTGCTGCATCGCCCAGGCAGTAAGTGGCAAAGCCAAGACTGGAAGCCAGGCAGGCTGGCAGCAGACTAGAGGCTTCAACTTGCAGTCAGCACACTAAGGCCCATGGAGAAGGAAATGGCAACCCACTCCAGTATTCTTGCCTGGAGAATTCCATGGACAGAGGAGCCTGGCAGGCCATGGTGCATAGGGTCGCAGAGAGTCAGACACGACTGAAGTGACTAAGCATGCATGCTAAGGCCCAAGAGGTCCGCAGACCTGCCCAAGGTCACATAGACGGGCGCCCAGGTCTTCACGGACCTGCATCCAGTCCTACTCCCTTGGACTCAAAGGGCAGGAGGCCCAGACAGAGGCAGGGGGTGGGCTGGGGGGGTCTCCAGGAGAGGGGAGTGCCTCTGCGCGCCCCCTGAGGGGGCGGGGACAGAGCCGCAGCAGCCGCCGTTATTAACAGGGCAGCAAGTCCACGCCGGCCAGCTGGGGTTTTCCCCTCTCCTCCCAGGGGCTGCAGCCCTGGCCCATCTGGAAGACCCCCTCCAAGCACCCCTCCGAGACCCCCTGACCTTGCCTGCACACACGAGCCCTCTGGCCCTCTTTGTCTCAAGGCCTTTGGGGAAGGCCACCATCCACTTCAGTAGCATTCAAAGGCCAACAAGGCCCGTGGTTTATTTTCTTAGAAATAATGGTTTTTGCTGGTTAGCATTCCTCGGATGGAAAAACAAACACAGCCACTGTAATAAGAAGCGGACAGGAGGAGGCTAGAGGACCTAGAGGGAGGGACGGAGAGAGGCCTGCTGCCCAGGGTGGGGGGTGCTCAGAGATGGGGTGGGGGTGGGGCAGAGGCCCTCCAACCCTGGGAGAGATGGGGATGTAGAGAAAAAGCTCGGTCGCAGGCACTGGTACTGTCTTCTGCGCACTCTCGCTACAGCCAGGCGCTGTCCCTTCCCCAGCCCCCACTTGGGGCCCGCTGGGTGAGACAGGTGGCCCCAGTCCCACGCCATGGGAGGAAGGCTAAGCCACCTGCTGCACTCACTGAGTCGGCAGGGATAAAGTCAGACCTCGGCACCCTTGCGACAGATGCATTCGGGGACCATCAGAGCGGGAAGGAGTGTCCGAGACCCCCTCTGCCTTCCTAACTTAGCCCAGGTGACCGCCTCTCCAGGGGGTCCTGTCAGACGTCCCCCTCCCCCAGCAGTGCTGGCCCCTGTCCTTCTCACCCCGCTGAGTCTGGTCTGTATTTCCACGGCTGTACTTTCCACGCTCTGTTAACGATCATGTCTTTCCCCATCCGTTTCTCCCCTGAACAGGAAGATCGGGAAAACCGGTCGTGGCCCCAGCCCTGAGCTTGGCACAGAGTAGGTGCTCAGTGAACATTGTCCATCCTGAACTGAATCTGGTCCAGTGGACGCATTTTACACCTGGGCAAACCGAGGCCTGGGGAGGCAAACACCTCTTAGTGCTTCGATGCCAACGATACAAGCTCTTAACTTTTCCTTCCCAAAAATGGACTGGGGCTCCAAGAAACCTCAGCTCCGCAGCAGATCAGGGACCAGTTGCAAGCCACGCTGCTTAATTGCTAGCTGACAGCAGCTTGGAATTTTAAGTCACATCCGATTTCTTCCTGCCCGCTGGTCTGCCGGACTCCAGCGCTTTCATCTTCAGCAGGGCACACGTTAGCATGCATAATTGCACGTTTTAAGACTCGAAGAATTTCCCCTCCTCCCCCACTCCCAGCCCACCTCTGAACTGCCTTTGCTGGCCTCCCAAAAAGCAGAATTGTATCTGGAGTTTCAGTCAAGAGTGTAATAATGATGATGAAAATGATTTAGTAAGGTCATAGACATTATTTCCTCAGAAGGCCAATTGGTCTCAAGGTTTTTTTGTTTTTTTTTCTGATGTTAAACTAAATGGATCACTGGGTGTGTTATTAAGAGTTTTGTTAAAACACTTAATAGCATGGCCTGTAATCTACCTAACTTCAGTGACTGACAAGTAGGCCCTGGGGATATAAAATTCAGGAAGTGACTATTTACATGCATTACTTACATGCTAATTTTGTGATCTCCGATGCCCATAAGGCTGTCATTTTTTTCCTTTTCACAGAAAACGGAAAATAGTAATATATTTGATATACTGTGGCCAAAACAAAAAGCTATTTCCCCCAAGAGTTTTAATTATGACGTTTTGGAAAAGGTCCGAGTTGGAACTTGCAAGTGGAAGAAAGCACTTGAATAAATGGTTTAAAAAATTAAGTACACATAGAAGGGGTGATGTGCACCATGTTTCAGACTAAACAGTGATTATCAGGAGGGTCTCAGTTATTTAAACAAGCCGTTTGAGGGTGGTTTGCTCCACGTTTGGGACCTGGTCCTGATTATAAACAAGAGCTTTTCATTAAGATTAGCAAGACCCAATTCAAGCTATAATTTGGTCCTTTTCCTTAGCACATGTCTATGAAAACAAAGCAATTAAGGTTAAATGAGTTGAAGCATTTAAAGGGACTGAAATGCCCCCTCCTCACCCCCAGCCTGCCCCCTCGACAGAAACAGTACAAACAGGCCTGACTAATTCAGACCAGGAGGGCAGCGCAGGGCTGGCCCTGGCAGCTCCCTGAGAGTCCATGCACAGGGTGCCTGGTGAGGTGGGTGGGGAATGCAGCAGCTAAGCTAAATGAAGAAGCATGGGGAGACAGAATGTGCAAAGGCCCTGGGGTAGGAAGGAGCTGGCAAGTTGGAGGAACTGTAAAAGGACAGTGATGCTGGGAGGAGGTTAGGGAGAAAAAGATACAGAGAATGACAGCATTCAAAGTGGTTAGCTGAGGAGTGTCTCCAGAGGTCCAGGCTCATGAGGCCAGGCTCAGAAGAGCTGACGGCAGCAAGGGGAGGTGTGAAAAGGTCTCTGCAGCCCCCTCTAACACTCCATAGCTAAGGCTGTTGGGGGTCTGGGCCACTGCTGGGACCTCATGGCTGACCAGGATCATAGTCCAGGCCCTTCTGTCTCTTAGCTGGGCAACCTGTTGAGAGACTAACCTTCTTGGGCCCAATTTCCTCAACCTAATACTACCACTAGTCCCCACCAGACATCCGTGAACTAGACCTCACCCCTTTGCAGACTTGGCTTCCCCATCCATAAAACCTTCAAAGTGTGGGAGGCTCTAGGAAGCCTTTCCTGATACCCCCCAGACATGGACAATAGTCATTCACCTCATCCACCAGTACCAGCTCTGGGCCCAACCCTAAGTGAAGTCACACAGGTCATGGTGACCCAATGTGACAGGAGCTCTGAAGGAGTCATGCTCACTGGTGACAGCTGACCTATTTGGGGCAGCAGGGAAGGCTTCCTGGAGGAGGTGACCGCTGCAACTCACCCATCCACCCATTCACCCAACTGATGCCTCCCAATCCCTGTGTCAGGCCTGGTGCTGGGTTCTAGGCATCAGAGCTGAAAGATCACAGACCCTGCCCTTGAGCAGCCCACATTCCAGAAGGAGACCTGGGGACCATTAAGCCATTGTCAAGTGGGCTAAACAGGTTGTGTGAGGCGGCAAAGGCAACAAAGAGGGGCACTCATCTACAAATAACGGGGGCTGCCTTAGAGGCCCTTTAAAGCTCATTCCAACTCTGCATGTCCGTGAGCTCACTTCGAGTGACTTCAGACGCCGTCAAGATGAGAACCACTGAGAAAACATTGGTTTATCCTCAGCCATGCTCAGGGTCTTTCACAGCTGTCTGAGACCCCGCAGTCTGCCTACAGCAAGCCCCCTGCCGACGGCAATGACCACATGTGGCCCCAGGCTGCTCCCTGGACACACCGCAGCTGCACATGCAGACACCCCACCATCATCACATGTGCACGTGACCACATGGCAAGACGGCCTTGAACGTGTGGTGAGAAGCCGTCCCCGAAACAGGGATCTGGTTGCTTCAGGTGCCGGGTTTGCTAAAGGGTTTTCCTCCGGCAGCAGGAGTTTCAAGGCAACACAGTTACGGGGCTCAGTTGGCCCCACCTGGGGAGGCAGGGAGTGGTCACAGGCTGGCCTCTTCCTGTGGAGAGTGAGAGAGGCCGTGGAAGGCACCTTCTCTGGGCCCGCTAAGACTCTGTCCTCTCCGTTCACCACAGTAAACAGCAAAATCTTTCAGATCTCTAGGACAGGGGAACTCATTTCTTCCCAAACTCCAACGCCAGCCTCTGCAAATCCCACACCAGCTCAGGGCCTGCAGACAAAGGGGCCCAGGGAGGGAAAGCAGGTTTGATTGATGCCTGCTAGTAGGAGAAGGTGGCAGCAAACTGTCTGCCACCCCTGAGGTGTAGTGCATGCTCAATCATTTCGAGCATGTCTGACTCTTTTGGATCCCATGGACTGTAGCTCTTGAGGCTCTTCTGTCCATGGGATTAATCTTAACCCAGGCAAGATTACTGGAGTGGGTTGCCATTTCCTCCTCCAGAGGATCTTCCTGACTCAGGGATTGAAACTGTCTCTTATGTCTCCTGCTTTGGCAGGCGGGCTCTTTACCACTAGCGCCACCTGGAAAGCCCCCATTTACACCATGGAAAGTAGCAAATGCTACACGACCGAGCTTTGATGATGATGATGGGAGCAGATGACAATGATGACAACAACGTGGGTAATGGTACCGCCCCCTGTGTACTGAATACCTACTGTATGCTGAGTGCCCACTGTCAACCAGGCACTGAGGTCGCCAGGGCTCTGGTACCCTACACCAGGGGTCCCCAATCTCTGGGATCGCATGCCTGATGATCACAGGTCAAGGTGATGTAATAATAATAGAAGCAAAGTGCACAAAAAATGCAATGTGTTTGAATCATCCTGAAACCATCCTTCCCCGGTCGATGGAAAAACTGTCTTCCACGAAACCGGTCTCTGGTGCCAGAAAGGTTGGGGACCGCTGATTATTTCATTTAGTCTTCAGGAGGCCTTAAGACAGATTAGGCGTTAGGGCATAAAAGGAGGGAAAGGAGCTCCATGAAGGGGGAACACATGAGCTGGGTCTCA